TTTTGGCGGACCGGGGATTGAACTCAGGCCCTTGCGCTTGCCAGGGAAGTGAACCCTTGAACGTGTATTAGAAGCGCCCGGAGCCCATGCAACTGGATCTGTATTATACACGATGCAATTGTGAATCATTTTTGCATTAAGAAACAAGAACACAGATCACACATGTAAACATCAGAAAAAAAAGGAGTAGCCTAAAATAATTATGCGAAGGCCTGTTTTTCTACCGAAACAAAACCGCAGGTATTTGGGGAGGCGGCCCATCGTCTTATCTCCGGGATGCTTTCACAGCCCTGCCACGAAGTAGGAGCGCGGTTGCCACAGTTGCACATGCAGAGAACAGCTTGCTAGTTAGAGCCTAGGCTCAGGCTTCTGTTGACAAATCAACACACAGCGAGGAAATCCAGTGAAGCGTGTGTCGACCGCCCGCAAAGAGCACTTGCTCTGAAAGGGAAGCAGAGCGGCGGTCGACGTTCCCATTCGAACCAGCTCAGCTACCCCTCCCTCCCCCCGAGAAATGGGCTCGGCCCTTTCCCGGCAGGCGTCACTGCGCCTGCGCACACCGTCCCGTGAGGTCTTGCCAGTCCCTCTCCGCCCTCACAGCTCCAGTGCGCGTGCGCGGGAAACTGCTGGCGGAATCCGCATCCTTCAGAGACCACTTCCGGTTGGTGCCTCGATTCGGACCCTCGGTGGCGTCTGCAGCAGGTTTGTGCGGGCGGCGAGGACCCGAGAGCGTTGTGGCTCCCCTGCAGTATTTTTTATGAACTGTTGGGGACCCAGAGTCTCTGGGTATTGTACCACTAGCTCCTTTCCCCAGTTCCTCTCAGGGTGTCTGCGGACTGCGGAGGTTAGGCCACTGTTTCTGTCTGGGCTGTCGGCGCGGGACGGTCCTTGAGAGGGGGCAGGAAGGGAGCTGCCGGTGTGCGTTTCCTTTTCTCCAGCGAGCTAGCACTGGATCGTCTTTAGTCCCTAAATGACCAGCTGCTTTGTTTTCTTGTGGCACTTGCAGCAGGAGAATGAATGGGCGAGCCATTATATTTCACTAATACTTGAGTTCGTTCTCCTGAAGGCTTTGCTTCGCCACCATTAAAAATTGAAACGACCTGGCAAGCGCAGGGTCTAGAGTTTGATCCCCGGTACCTGACAAAACAAAACAAAACAAAACAAACAAACAAACAAAAAATGCCCTCTTCCCGTCTGCCATTCTTACCTACTTAGTATTTTTCACTATTGGGTTTTAAACGTTGCTTGCATGTGCAAGCATTAAAATATTGAAAGGATTTACTAATACTTTTAAAAAGCAATTTATGCAGAATATCTGATTTTACTATCATCCTAATTTTGATATTTTTAACCCCATTTTACCCTTGAGGAAGCTGAATTTGGAAAAATTAATTTCCTGCATCTCACAGCTGTTAAAAGTTAGAGCCCACCTGTGAGCTGCAATTTATTATGCTCCAGAGCTTGAGTTCGGACAGCAAACCTTTTTTGCCTTACTGCACATGGGAAGCATTGGCTAAAAGCCTCAGAATCCAAAAAATAAAATTTAACATCATGTAAAAAGAAACAGAAATCCCCCCCCCTTTTTTACTTTTGTATGCAATTGCAATGAGCAAGAAACTTTGTCTTTCATTTTATGCTAAGTTTTGGTGTATTTGTTATCTATACACAGTCATTTCAGGATATATGGTTATCCATTCAGTACCTAGATTTGTCATTGTTGTAAAACAATTTAAAACTTTTTTTTTTTTTTTGGTACTGGGGATTAAACGCAGGACCTTGTGCTTGCCAGACAGGCGCTTACGCCACTGCCTGGGAACTGTTGAGGAAAGCAGACCTAGGCTCTACCCATAGGTCTGTAAAATCTATGTGCCAGTATTTGAGCATTCAGCATATAACTTTTTTAAAAAAAAAACGTATTTAGTACATACACAGATCGGATTTGTAGTGATCCTTCCTGTTTTTCAGCCTCCCAAGAGCTGGATTACAGGTGTGTGTCACCACACCCAATCTCAATTGCCATCTCAGCATGCCCCCGGGGGCGGGGCCCTCTCCGCAGCAGCATATAATTTTTTTTTTTTTTGACGGAACCAGGGATTGAAATCAGGCCCTTGGGCTTGCCAGGGAAGCACTTATTCCACTGAGCCATCTCCCCGGCCCAGCAGCATATAATTCTTAATATACTTCATTCTGCATGCATCATAGGTACAGTGTGAGAGTATCATTGTGGATTATAATATGCCCATTTGAGGGAGCCAGGTGGCAGTCGGTTATCCAAATGAGACGAGGAAGCCGTTACTCTAATCAAAGATGAAAGTCTCAGGAGTGTGGTCTCTAGCTGTCTCTAGAGGATTTGTTTTTTGATGTAGAAACTGTTTCCTTTGTCACAGTTTAGACTGAAGAGAGTAGTTTTGTTTGTTTTTCCTATAGTTTGCTGAGTGGCTGCAGTAAGCCCTCACGAAGGCAGTGAGAGCAAAACTATCCATCATTTCCAATTTTAGGTTTCAGTGAAAAGGCTCTATTGCCAGACATTGTATATAGCTGACACACTGAGAGTGTCATTATAATTAGTTGTTACTAGATCCCCTGTTTTATTATAGGATATCTGATCTTTTAAAGCAGAAACTTAATGGATTTGCCATAATACCAATGCCTGGTTTGTATGTGATTGCTAAATACTTGGGGAATACCTAACATGACAATATAAACAAAAAAAGTATGTAGAATTTATGAAGCTGTAAATAACTAATAAATTAGCAAATTGGAGATATTTGGGGAGGGTTATTTTGAGTTGGCTTTTGAATGCTGGAATGATTTGCAGAGTTGAAAGTAAACGGGTTTGTTTTCTGTGAAGTGAAATCTATTGGTAGGATTTCAAAATTCCTAGAACTTCAAATTTCAATTCCTTGATTGGGTGATTTGTTCTAAACATCTATTTTATGTTATACTAAAGAGAAAAACAAAAATGATACAGAATTTCAAAATAAGGTAATAGGAAGTTAATAATGGCTATTGCATATTATCTATCATCTACAAGATAGTTGGTCAGATTATAAAATAGGCAGGCAAAATTAATCAAATAATATGAGCCCTGTTCCGTTTAATGAATAGAAATTAGTAGCATTTTAATCTTAACTGTTTATATGTATTTATATTTACATGTTATATATGTATATATATATCCCTTCTTTTCTCCTTTCCCCCATCCAGTTGTTCTTTCCCTTTGAGCAGTTTCCTTCCCTCTCACAATATCTATTGTACCTTTTGGATCTTATTTAATCTTTCAATTTCTTACATGAGAGAGACAATACAATGTTTGCATATACTTGTCTGATTTATTTCACTTATGAATGTGGCCTCTAGTTACATCTATCTTTAAAAGCCTCAAGTTTATCCTTTTTTATTGCTTAAATATACCACATCTTTTTTGTCCATTTCTTGGTTGATGGGCATTTGGGTTCTTCCCACGATTTAGCTATGACATAGTGTGCTGCTATGAAACATGGGTGAACTTATTGTAGTATGATGTAAAAACATCTATTTTAAGTAGTGTGTTTCAGGTGTCACATAGAAGTCTGAGAAAGGAAACATGAAATGAGGACCTTAGTTCAAAAGACTAGAAATAAAAGTATATTGTGCTTGATTTTTAAATGTCTTCATTATTATGAGCAATACTCTTTTGCATTGTATGCTAAATAATCAAGTAATAGAATAGCAAATTCAGTGTGTCTTGGCATTTAGGGAAAAGTAAAATTAGTTTTCTATATTTGTGAAATTGGCATGGTAATACTTCAGTGAATACTAATTAAAATACATCTTATTAATTGAAGTTTAAAAGGGAGCATTCATATCATTGATCTATTTTCATAGGATAAATATTTATAGACATTATGATCCAGGTAAACTCTTCAAGATCATTAATGTTAAATATTTCATTGAATTTTATGTTTTCTTTTGTGTAGGGTCTTATTATACAGCTCAGACTCGTCATGATCCTCCTGATTTCTATCTCCCTCGTGCTGGGATTACAGGCATGAGCCACCATGCCTGGACTTGAATTTTATCTTTTGACTTAAAAATTTATCTCTTTCTGTGTTATTAGGTAAACCAGAGAATTCGCTGTCTCTCCTATGGCTGCCTCACGAACTTCACAGACTGTTGCGTCTCATGTTCCCTTTGCAGATTTATGTTCAACGTTAGAACGAATACAGAAAAGTAAAGGACGTGAAGAGAAAGTTAGACACTTCAAGGAATTTTTAGACTCTTGGAGAAAATTTCATGATGCTCTTCATAAGCACCAAATGGATGTTGCAGACTCTTTTTATCCAGCAATGAGACTTATTCTTCCTCAGCTCGAAAGAGAGAGAATGGCTTATGGAATCAAGGAAACTATGCTTGCTAAGTTTTATATTGAATTGCTTAATTTACCGCGAGAAGGGAAAGATGCTCTTAAACTCCTAAATTACAGAACACCTACTGGAACTCGTGGAGATGCCGGAGACTTTGCAATGATTGCATACTTTGTGTTGAAGCCTAGGTGTTTGCAGAAAGGAAGCTTAAACATACAGCAAGTCAATGAACTTTTAGACTCAGTTGCCAGCAATAATTCTGCCAAAAAAAAAGACCTAGTAAAAAAGAGTCTTCTTCAACTTATAACTCAGAGCTCAGCACTTGAACAAAAGTGGCTTATACGGATGATTGTGAAGGATTTAAAGCTTGGTATTAGTGAGAAAACTATATTTTCTATTTTTCATAATGATGCTGCTGAGTTGCATAATGTCACCATGGATCTGGAAAAAGTCTGCAGGCAACTCCATGACCCCTCTGTTGGACTTAGTGATATTTCTATCACATTATTTTCTGCCTTTAAACCAATGCTAGCTGCCATAGCAGATATTGAGCACATTGAGAAGGACATGAAACACCAGAGTTTCTACATTGAAACCAAGCTGGATGGTGAGCGCATGCAGATGCACAAAGATGGAGATGTGTATCGGTACTTTTCCCGAAATGGATATAATTATACCGATCAGTTTGGTGCTTCTCCCAGTGAAGGTTCTCTTACACCCTTCATTCATAATGCCTTCAAAACAGATGTACAGATCTGTATCCTGGACGGTGAGATGATGGCCTACAACCCCAGCACGCAAACTTTCATGCAAAAGGGGAATGAGTTTGACATTAAAAGAATGGTAGAAGACTCTGATCTGCAGACTTGTTACTGTGTTTTTGATGTGTTGATGGTTAATAATAAAAAGCTAGGACGTGAGACACTGCAGAAGAGGTATGAGATTCTCAATAGCACTTTTACACCAGTATCGGGTAGAATGGAAATAGTACAGAAAGCCCAAGCTCGTACTAAGAAAGAAGTTATTGATGCATTGAATGAAGCAATTGATAAAAGAGAAGAGGGAATCATGATCAAACATCCTCTGTCCATTTATAAGCCAGACAAAAGAGGTGAAGGATGGCTCAAAATTAAACCAGAGTATGTCAGTGGACTAATGGACAAACTGGACATCTTAATTGTGGGAGGCTATTGGGGGAAGGGCTCCCGGGGTGGGATGATGTCTCATTTTTTGTGTGCTGTAGCAGAGAAGCCCCCTGCTGGTGAGAAACCAACAGTGTTTCATACCCTCTGTCGTGTTGGCTCAGGATACACCATGAAAGAACTGTATGATCTAGGTTTAAAACTGGCCAAACACTGGAAACCTTTTCATAAAAAAGCACCACCAAGTAGCATTTTATGTGGAACAGAGAAACCAGAAGTGTACATTGAACCTTGTCATTCTGTCATTGTTCAGATTAAGGCAGCAGAGATTGTCCCCAGTGAAATGTATAAAACTAGCTGCACATTGCGTTTTCCAAGAATTGAGAAGATCAGAGATGACAAAGAGTGGCATGAGTGCATGACTCTAGATCAGCTAGAACACCTGCGGGGGAAGGCATCTGGGAAGCTTGCGTCAAAACATCTTGATGTAGGCAGTAATGATGAACCTAAAGAAAAGAAGCGGAAAACAACCCCAAAGAAGAAGAAAGTCATTGGAATTCTTGAACACTTAAAAGCACCTAACCTTTCTAACATAAGCAAAGTGTCTAACATATTTGAGGATGTAGAGTTCTGTGTTATGAGTGGAACAGACAGTCATTCTAAACTTGACCTGGAGAACAGAATTGCAGAATTTGGTGGTTATATAGTACAAAACCCAGGTCCTGACACATACTGTGTAATTGCAGGCTCAGAAAACATTAGGGTGAAAAATATTATTTCTTCAGATAAACATGATGTTGTCCGGCCTGCGTGGCTTCTGGAGTGTTTTAAGGCTAAGATGTGCTTGCCATGGCATCCTCGCTTTATGATCCACATGTGTCCATCAACAAAACAACAATTTGCCCGGGAATATGATTGCTATGGTGACAGTTATTTTGTTGACTCAGATTTGAACCAGCTGCAAGAAGTGTTCTCAGGAATTAAGGACTCTCATGACTGGACCCCTGACGAAATAGCCTCTGTGATTGCAGATTTAGAATATCGTTATTCCTGGGACCAGTCTCCTCTCAGTATGTTTCGACATCACACCATATATTTGGACTTGTATACTGTTATTAATGATGTGAATACCAAACTCAAGGGAGCAGGATTAGCTATTACAGCTTTGGAGCTTCAATTTCATGGTGCAAAAGTAGTTTCTTGTTTAGCTGAAGGTGTGTCTCATGTGATCATTGGGGAAGATCAGAGCCGAGTTGCAGATTTTAAAGATTTTCGAAGAACTATTAGGAAAAAGTTTAAAATCCTACATGAATATTGGGTAACTGACTCAATAGACAAAGGTGAATTAGTAGAGGAAAGTCAGTATTTGATTTAATGCTAGCTTCTTGGGAAAATCTTGATCCTGCAGACTCATTGCAGCAGATGATAATGGTAAACTTTTGCATTTTAAATCTATACTTAATTTATTAGATATAGGTAAACAAATATTTCTAAGAAATGCAACTGAATGATTCAAGCCAAGAAATTCTGTCACTAGTGTATATTTTATGATTTTCTGTAACAGAGATGAAACAAATGAAGATATCCATATATGAATTTAATGTTTTGACTTAGATATTAATAAAATGCATTAAGAAGTCTTTAGAATATTGATCTTATGAATAGAATTTTTCTAAGATCAGCTAACATTTTTAATCGTTTTTATCTAATGTATTTTAAGGAAAAAAAGTGGAATTGTTAGGCAAATTTTTACTTGAAACCTAAAATATCTCTTAAAAGTGGAATGTAAATTATTTAAGACTCTAAGTTATTTAATGTCAATGGATATAGTGTGTGTCTGAACTTATTTAACAAATTTTCCAGTACAGTCTGTATTTAAAAATGTATGTTCATAGCACTCCTGGAATGAAGGGAATTTGAAACTTGAACTACTACATGTAATTTTTTTTTTTTTTTTGATGATACCATGGATCAAACTTGGGACCTTGTGCTTGCCAGGCAATACATGTAAATTATTTGGAAGTAGAACAAGTGTGCGTGATTATGTTATACTAATTTAAATAAAGTATTTAATATAGTGTTAAAATAATTGACGTTCTTATTTTCAAGCAATTATAATAGTTATTTCAGTAAGATTTTATAGTGTCAATATAATTTTAACTGGTTCTAATCAAGTTCTTCTTTGAGTTCCCTTACATTTCACTTTATTGAATGAGGTTTATTTAAAACTTAAACCAGGTGTGGTGGCACATGACTAATCCCAGCACTCAGGAGACCAAGGCAGGAGGATTACTGAGTTTGAGGCTACCCTGGGTTACAAGTGATCTCAAAGCCAGCCTGAATTACACAATGAGACCATTTCTCAAAACAAATAACTTTAAAATGAATTCTCCCATGGTGGCATGAAACACAGTATAGTAAGGGAGAAATCTTAAAACTTTAGTACTAACGACAATAACATTTTTCTATTTTAAGTTATTAATGATAAAGCACAAAACTACTTAGAATAAGAATAACAAATCTAAGTGCTTTATAAGATGTTCTCAGTAAAGAGAATATGATGCTCACCGATTGTACTGTAATATATCTTGTGGGTATATTATTTGTATTTCAGGTTATTTCATTACACAGCCTGCATGTTTGCTTTCTTTTCTGATGAAGCAGTGTGATAAATCTTTTAAGAGTCCTGTGAGTTTGTTGGGATATATTCCTAGAAGTGGAAATGCTGGCTCAGTGTTAGGTAATTCTTAGTGATTCTTGATACACATTGAAAAATCTGGGCCAAAATATGTTGTTGGCTATTCTCATCTTCCTCATCCCTACAGCTGCACAGTGCTAGGCCTGTTCTCTATTTTCATTAATTTAGTTGATGTTTTTCTATCTTATGGCTTTTGACCTACTGACCCCACCTTTCTATACCCCCAGTTTTTCAGCTGAGCTGCAGTTCATATATCTTAGCTGAGTAACATGTCCATATGAAAAATCTAGTAGGACTCAAATTTAGTATATCTAACTGCTTTTTAAAAAATTTTTATTAAAGGAAAATTAAAATACGCACAAGACAATAGTATAATGAGCCTGCATGTGCACATGAGCCAGTCTGAGCAACTGGCAGTGATCAGTTCATTATACTCGTGATTCTAGATTGATTTAGATGACATAATTTCACCTGTGCATATGCCATGGTGAATCCCTTGACCTCTCAGACTTGGGCTGTCGTCCAGCATTCTCCCTGTTCACTATCTGATACAGTCGTCCTGATGCCCCATCTGCGTCACACCTCTGACCGACAGCAAATTGTGTCAGGTTGGGTTTCTCTGCATGTTCCAGATGTGACCTCTTCCCACTTATACTCTTCTTACTGGAATATCTCAGGAGCCTTCTTAGCTGGCCTTCCTCCTGTATCCTCCTTTATGTTGTGTTCTCGGGAACAAAATTCATAATCTCAGAGATGGAAGTCAGATTGTGTTACTCTTCTATCTAAAACTGCTAGCTCTCCCAACACCTGACGTCTGTAACAGGGTCTGTGGCGTGTGTGTGATCT